CATCAGGCATCAGCGCAGACAGAGGAGATAAATTTAGGTCCAGTTGCACAGTGAATGGCCGAGTGGTGGCAGTGCCTCAGGATGCTGAAAAGATTCTGGTGGTGGATGTGAACACATCCAATGCTCGCCGCCTTAGCCTCGAGTTGCCCACGAGTGATGTCCACAACACGCCCCAGTTTGCTGACTTGGTGGCAGCTTTGCTCAGCTCTTGGATTTATGGAGACGACCCGGAACCACCTCAGACGATGCATGCCTCCTTCGAAGTCCACAAGGTGATCCAGCCTGGAGATTTTGGGAGGTCTTTGAAGATTGCGAGCGTGACAGCCCACTTGCCGACGGGCAAGGTTCTGTACATCGTGTTTAAGGGAACTTCTTACATGCTGGATTTCTTGAATTGGAACTTGGAACATGATCATGAGATAACAGGTGAAACCGACTTCTTTGCTCACGGTGGCACTGCCAGCACGATCAGAAGCACAAAGTTCTTGAAATCAGATATCTTTTTGAGCCGCTTGGTTGCTGCGCGAGGGCAGGGTGTGCGCAAGGTTGTTTTCACTGGCCACTCTTTGGGAGGCATGTATGCCCAGATGTGTTTGTTCTTGGCTTGGAAAGAGATGAGAGGTACTGGCAGTTTGAGTGAGGTCTTGTCATCTTTGGACTTGCAGAGCTTTACTTTCGGTGCTCCGATGGTGTTTGGAGGAAATTCCCAGAAGGCCAGGGATTTCAAAAACTTCGCAAGAGAGCATGCTGTCAACTACATCCTTTCTGACGATCCTTGTGCACGGGCCTGGGGTGCATTGAACCTGAGACACTTTGTCCAGCAAGCCACGCTAGCTGTGAAGAAAGGCTTGCAAGACACATATGGCAGTGTGAAGGGCACATTGGCCTCCAGAGTTGTGGAACAAATTGCAACCCATCTTTTGGAGAGGCCGGATTTCCTGATGATCGAGGATTTTGCCCGGAAGTACGAACATGTCGTACCCCTGCGTGTATTGAGCGCTGATAGACAACATGTTCGGTGGAAAGAGTTTCGCCTGACGCCAGAGTGTTTCGAAGACCACTCCATCGAATGTTATGTGAACAAGTTGTTCGATGCTTTTGAGCAGAGCCGACCTGAGTGCCACATTCACGAGCAGCCCTTTGAAATGTGATGATTGGCGGAGTGTCGTGCAAAATCTTGGGGACTCCAACTTGGATGGATTGGTGGATCAATAATGGAGCCAAGAATGCAAGACGGAATGTCACAGAAGCTGACGCCCAAACAGGTTGCATGCTGCACATGGCCAAACTGGTATGTGTTATATGCTTCGTCAACTTCACCGGTTTGCTTCTGTAGTAGGGGAGAGAGAGAGAGAGAGAGAGAGCGCTGCATGTTTGAGGTCATGCCATCTCAGTCACACATATGGTTTCTTTTTTCGCCGTTTCTTCCAGTGCCCGTCACCTCCGATGTCATGGCTAGGCTTCCGATGTCATGGCGATCAGAGCGCCGAACTCAGCTCTGACGTTACTTCGGATGGATGTGCGCGCAGACCTGACCGGCGATTGTGGGCGACGTCCAATGATTTGCCAAGTCCCAACCCAAGTGGAGCCTGTTTGTGAAAGATCTGCAAGTAGAGGATCGATCAACCAAGAGAAAATGGGCAGCATAAATTCGCCAAGATCATCACCGACAAACACCAACAATGTTTTTATGGATGCATGGAAGCCACCCAAACTCAGCCAAACTGGTTGCCCACATTTGCCGTTTCGAGATCAAACACATCTTTATCGTATATGACTTCATATGACATACTTCCATCGTTTTCATGGTCAACCTCCCAAACTCCACTTTTCGAGTCTCCTGCGTTCGACTTCACCCCCGCCCCCGCCCAAACGTCCGATGCGCTGGATCCAAACGTCCCGATGCGCGGGAGTCCGGTCTCAACGCCGCCTTCGCGGAGCCGGTTTGGCGTCGCGGTGGGGTCCGCGGGGTCTGTGGCGCCAGATGGTGGACAGTTCGGAGATGCCCAGAGCCAAGTCGGAGGTCTCCAGGTTGTTGGCCTTCAGGAGGGGGTTGGGGAAGAGGACATGGATAACCAACGTGGGCGTATTGTGTAGTGATTATTGTGATTATTGTATGGTTGGAAGACAGGTTGTGTGTATTGTTTCACTTAACACCCCATGTCGAGTTTTTATTCTTCACAGATACTACCTTTCCATGGCCAAAGGGTCCTTGTCGTGACTCAATGTCAAATGTCAATGACGCAGATGTGACTCAACGTGGCGAGTCTGCAAACCTCTGCAGGAACTTCAGCTTGCTTCGGCCTGGAGCTTGGGCAGGACCTTGGACCTGACCACCCTGGACCTTTGTCGACCTGACTTGCTGGTACTCTTATGACTCATGGCAAGATCGACCATCGACATGACGCGGCGCCATGATGTACCGGTACCGGCCATGAGCATGGCCTGTGTTTGGAGATACCCGTTTGGCCAAGCTGCATGTTCACGCACGTTCTTTGTCAATGGCCAGTAGCGCAAGCCTCGTCTTCAAGACTCCAAGTGAGTGGAGCGGCTGAGCCGCGGCTGAGTCGCGGCTGTCGCGTTCTTTCGTGTGCCAAGGCCATGCCACAGTGGGCGATATCCCAGCCACCTGTGGGTTTGGATCTCAGAAACAAAGTTGCGCAGCAGCTCCACAGGGATCTTCAGTTAGTGATGTGGGAGGCTGGAAGGGGGTTTGTGCGTGGAACACCATATGGCCATGGGTCAATTTCACCCTGGTGGACTTGTGGATTCCTGGGTCAAACGAACCGATGACCGATTCCTTCTTTACGGGATGTCAACTTCTCATGGTGCAGGTGGTGGCAGGTGGCAGCCATGACTCACAGCCAATAGGATTTGTATGGATTTGTATGGATGCCTGTGTCGTTTCTTGTCTTGAAGACGGTGGTCCTTCTTCCGACCTCACTCCTGTTCTGTCTGGAGCCGCCCGTTCCCCGGACGGCGGGGAGGTCGAGGGTCGTGTGGAAGAGAACAGCGCTGAAGCTCCACGTTCAGCACTGTTGAGTCAGTTAAAGCATGTATTCCAGCACAAGCACCCTATCCCCTCCCTCTGGATGGTCCTCTATACCTCCACGGTTTTTCTATTTTAATTAGCCACGTTTCATGGTCAACACGTTTCGTGGTTCACCCTGGGCTTCGCCACCGCTTTCCGACGTGGTGGCCGCCTTTCGCGCGCGCGCCAGCGCCACGCGTCCTCAACCGAGGATGGGCCCTTCCACCGGCTGGTGCCCGGTGGAACTCCTGAGCGTTTCCTGCAGGAAGCGAAGCCGAATGCGGTGACGACCAAGTCCTCCTGTGGACGTTCGTTCGGACTGACGAGAAGAGGTCCAAGAGAGTGTGGACTAGTTCGTTGCAAGTTCGGAGTGAGGTCGAAGATGGAACCAGATCCCGTTGATCCGGAGCATTTGGTTGGATCCCACATCCTCCTTTTGAGCCTCCCCGTTTCTCGTTTAATTTGATATTTTTTATTATAATACCGGTAGTATAATTGCACGTGGGTCATCTTCAGTTGGTTGACACTGACACTGTACTTCAGCGCTGGTTGAACTGAGCGGTCCCAGTACTGTACTCTTTCAGTTTTATCTTCAGAGATCACCCTTCTTCCGCCCCGCCACCGCCGGGGTGGTGCACGAGATCTTCCACCCGGCATCACCCGGCCAGGCCTATGGCCATGTACGTCGTCGAGCTGCGATGGTGGACAACATCTGCCGCAAGGCGCGTGTGGTGGGGGCGCCGGGTGGTGGGGGCGGCGGTGGGGGGTGGGCGGTGGGTGGGTGGGCGTCACTCGTCACGTCGTGTTGCGAGCCATGGGGCATTGAACTTGATCAATGAATATCTTATCCTATAGAGCGGACTGTGAAAGAAGGAACATTCGCATATCCAAAAGCCGATTTCATTGAACGATTACTTTTTTGTGTGATCAAGAACTCGGTTCCGAGACATGACGTTTGAGTCCGTGAACGACGGCATTTTTTTCGTTTTTCTTCCGGCTTAAGACCTGCGGCCGAGCACCTGGCAGGTCTTCTTGGCCTCCTGCGCTTGTGGACCCCACCCCATTCAGGATGCGCCCTACGAGGAAGGCGCCGAGCCTTCCGCCGAGTTCCGAGCGGCCGAGCGAAGCGAAGGAGGAGGAAGCGATCCACTGATCGAAGCGAAGGAACTGTTGGTGCCGGGTGTAGCTACATGACAATTAAGTATACTGTGTCATGTATACTCAATTAAGTATAGTATAATGTACTCAATTTACTATACTGTACTGTACTGTACTCAATTATACTGTAATGTCAACATAGGATTAACCAACCCCCCCTATTAGTCTACCCAGCGTTCAGGCCCCAATAATAAACTAATTTGAACTATGAATTTCCACAGTCACCACCCTCCAATAAAAATTTTGCTTGGCTGAACCCCCCCCCTATTAGTCTATCCCCTGTCCCCCAGGAAAAATATATTTATATGTGTGTTCAATTAGTTTTGTTCTTTTTGCCTTGTCAATATTTTCTTGTCTTGCCATGGTGAAACTGATCTTCTGATTGATTACCAATGCTCTCCCAAAGCAACAGTTTTCCTAGAATTTCCAAAAACTCTCTAGGAAATTCGTTCATTTTCCCTTATTAAAACTCTATCAAAATCTGCAATTTGAGAAGCTCAGAAAGGGTACCCCCCATACACCCCCTACCCCTCTAATAGTGGGGTACCCCCCCCTATTAGTCAACCCCATCCATGATGAGCTCTCATGGACCTCATGATGAAAGGGAATTAGTATTTGGGCTCTCATGGATCTCATCATTCCATCCCAGCTCTTCCAAATACTAATTCCCTTTCATTCCAATTCTTCCATGCAAATACTAATTCCCTTTCATCCCAACCCTTCCAAATACTAATTCCCTTTCATTCCAATGCTTCCAAATACTAATTCCCTTTCATTCCAATTCTTCCAAATACTAATTCCCTTTCATCCCAACCCTTCCAAATACTAATTCCCTTTCATTCCAATGCTTCCAAATACTAATTCCCTTTCATTCCAATTCTTCCAAATACTAATTCCCTTTCGTTCCAATTCTTCCAAATACTAATTCCCTTTCATCTCAATTCCTCCAAATACTAATTCCCTTTCATTCCAGTTCTTCCAAATCAAATTCCCTTTCATCATCAGGTCATCCCCACTATTAGGGGGATGTGATCTCCAAAACCTCCAATCTCAGACCTTGTTGACCTTGTTGACCTTCTAGGGGGGGGGGGCGTTGATTAATCCGACGATGACATTACTCAATTAAGTATACTTAAGTTAAGTACAGATCCAAATTTTAGAAACCATGGGATTATACTTAGACACATCACCTATGCCAAAAAAGATATGGGAGAATCCCAAGGTATACTGAGCTAACCTTGTTTTTTGCAGAAAAAGCCTCGCACCTCACGCGTGGCCAAAGACCGACCTCTGTCAGACCGACCACCAAAGCGCCCCACACGCCCCACGCACGCCGCGAGACGCCAGGGCCCTTCGTGGTGCGCGAGACCAAAGCGCCCGGGGCCCACGGGAACCGAGAACCGGAGACGGTGGCGAGTGGTTTTTCGGGGCGGTGGCGAGTGGTGGCTGAGGAAATCGAGAGGTGCTCAATGGAACTCTAGGAGACCTGACCCAGATTCTGCAACGGCAACGTGTGGGTGTGTTTTTGGGTTAAGTTCATGGGTCTCTTCATGAACTCTCCTATCATCTCGTATCTTCATTAGGTTCCTCCAACCAGCCAATTCAATTAGCGTCACTCGACCCCTCCTCGACCCCTCCATCCTCCCCGACTCCTCCGAGGCCAGACTTTCGGGAGCTTTACCGCTTTGGCAAGCTGCTGGGCGAGGGCGTGTGGGGCCCTAGAGCGGGAGGACCGCATGAGGTGAGGGGACAGGCGTGAGGTGAGGGTGAGGTGAGGGTGAAGTGAGATGGAATGTGAGCGCTATAGGTGTTTGGTGGTTCTTGGATCAGCAGTGGGATGTTTTCAAGATATATAGTTTTTTTTTTGGTTTCCTTGGAGCAATTCGTGGATAAGCAGGAAAGGGGTACCAAGTCTAATTGAACTTGGGTGAACGTGAACAAGTGCATGAATTTCTGAAGCTGCACAACCTGGCTGAAGGATGCTGGGGGTCAAGGACCTCGGGTGCCATACCAGGTGTGAAGTGCGTACTCCAGCCAGTTGACTACTTCTAAGGGAAATGTAGAAACTGATCTAGTACGTTTTGGAAATATTTGTTCTCAGGATTTCGGCATCGTCTACACCTGTGATGTGAAAATGAGTGGCTCTGCCTGGGATGAGGACGGGTAGCTTGCAGGTTTGATCAGATTTGAAATAGATTTCCATGCTAGTTTCGATCAGTTGTGATCCGATCAAGATTTGATCAGTTGAATCAATTCCCTACAGGTCAACAGATCTCATTCTACTGGAGTTGATATGAGTTGATCATTGAAAGAACACTGCTCCATGACGTTTTCGAGGACCAGGTTGTGACGTTTGGTCGGCCTGGACCTTTGGGGACTCTCAAAATCAACACAGTCACCCGCTGTGAGGAGCTCACGCGCGAGGCTGAGGCTCGACAGAACCGTGAGGACCGGCACGGCCGGGCCGGACCGTTTGGGTGGGAAGAATGGCGTGGCTTGGACGGTGTTTGGGGGTTTCCAAGTCGCATCAACCCTATACTTGTAGACGAACATGATCACCTTCTACCGGTCAGTTCTAAAGCTCTTCCTGCGTTTGACGCAGCAGGAGGCCTTCGGCTTTCGAAGCGTTCTTCCACTGCGAGGTGTTCGCACCCCGATGTGTTCGAGTCTTTCCACGAGCATTGGCTGCCAGGAGGCCCTGAAGAATCTCAACGCCGCCCATGGCAAGGCCATGTGGATGGATGTGACAGTTCTCTCAGAAGGTTTTTCCCCACCTGTCAGGTGAGAGTCTTTAGATATGGAAAAAGGTGCTACTCTGACTCCTGCCTGCCTTCCACTCCACTCCACTCCACTCCACTCCCCTTTCTTTTAACTCCTGGTGCACAAGCTGCAGGACGCCATGGGCGACCACTCGGCCCCATTTTCCGAGATCCATTCTGGTTGCGTTGCTGCCGGACTCCTCTCCGAGCACCCCCAGAGATGCCCAGCCATGTTGTACCTCCCATTCGCCTCTGTGACCTCATCTGATCACCAAAAGTCCCCCAGAAGAACCTCCCGGAACCTTCCTGCCCAGTCCGTCCCCTTGTCGCGGTTCTACCGCGCCCGTCGCCCCTCCTGCCCCTAAAAACGCGCGCGTGCGCGTTTTGGGAGGCGATGAGTTTGCCGCAGCTCCTCCACGAGCAACGGCAAAAGCAGCTTCAGCAGATGGAGCAACGCTGGGGGCACCCGTCGAGTGGCACCGGTCGCGGTCGCGGTGGCCGATGGGGGCGCCGGGCCGAGATCGCAGTGGCCGACCTCATGTGGCTTCTTTTGGAGGCTGAAAGCTTGATCGCTACCAGGACCTTCCAAGAGCTGTCTTGTAAATAGCCTCTTAGAAACTCTTAGAGGTTGAGGGGATGTCCAAGAACCGCCTGTTGGAAGGTCCTGGTCTATGGTGACCTGCCATTTTTTTGGTTTGGCTTTGGTTGTTTTTTTGGTGGCACAACAAACAATGCATGTACAAGTGTTGCTGAATTCGATCTAGAGGCGTCCGATTCTTGGCAGCAAATCTGATAAAATCAGATCCTTTTCTAGGGGGGACACTTCAACCCGCCAACTAATACATGGACGTTGATCTAAAACCCCGTTTCCAGCAGTTCATAGCAGTTCTATATAAAACAGCCTTTCAGATGTTATCTAGACTTACTTCTCAAATACTCGGCCACGCACTTTTGCCCGGCTCTTCTCCATTCAACATCTACTATAGTATCTATATATGTCGCCGAATCGTTCTTCAGGTCTCTTCGGTCGTCTCCGACACCCTACCGCAGAGGACGGCAGCGGCGTGGACACGAACCTTCGGTGCCCCGACATGCTTGTTGGAGCGTTGTCGGATGATGGGCCACGCGGCGCGGCGAAAGGTTGGTCGGGAAAGGAAAGGAACATGAAAGGGGACATAAGGGGAGCTCTAGGTGGGGAACAAGCTTCGGAGGGTGAGGAAGAATGAGGAAGAATTTGGAAGATGTGTTTAGTTATGTTTCGTTGGGTGAAAAAGAGGTGAAGAGCCGACCCTTTTTAAGTAATAACAGAACGCGCGTTCCGAGTCTCGGTCGGTTCCTGGAATTGGCCACGTTCTCCAAGCTGGACCTGGAAGCCATTTTCAGAGCAGACCCCGGAGACCTGCCCCCCGAGCCGTGCAGACGCGGGAGGTCCGGGATGTCGGAGGAGGCCAAGCTGGACAAGCAGGAGGCAGGACAAGCAGGCACGGACAGGCACGTGAGCTGCAAGGGATTCCGCGCCACAGGCCATTGGAAGTGCTGGATGATCACTATCTTGCTCTGGGGCCTGCTGGTCTCGCGGGTCATTTGTCATGTACGAATCGAGGAGTTCTGTTACAATTCAGGCCACAACTACGTTTGGCGGCACTGTGATGGAGCCTGCGATTTCTTCATCGGCAACTACAGTGCCTCGTTCTGGGTTTGCTTGGTGTTATCCTTCCTCCTCTACTTTGTCGAGTTTTTCTTCTCTTCCGCTCGAAAGTACTTGGCAAACACCGTGGACAATCTAGTGCTTCTCTACGACACCTTGAACGCTCTCAAAGCCAAAGCTCCTTCGATCTGGATGAAGGTGGACAACTACCATTGGGAAGTGCGAACTCGCATCATTGACGAGACAGATGCCCAGGGAATCAGCCAGCAACGAGTTGAGATATACAACGAGATGGTTGTGACATCAACATTCCGACAAAACTTTGAGTTCGGTTCCTGGAGAGATGTCAGCCAAAGCTTTGATGGGCTAGAAGAGTACAAAGTCACAAGGCTGACCGTTGAAAAGCACTTCACCTTTGGCAATGATGAGACGAGGCTTCACTGGACCAGAGTCGCTGAGAAGTTCCAGCAGGAGCACAGGATGGATGTCCATCAGAGCTTTGCCTATGACATGGAGATTGATGGATACTGGCCAAAGTACTTGTGTGAGCTCGAGGAAGGCATGAAACCCGACTGGGTCAGCGCAAGATGGCTCTATCTCTCCACCTTCTTACTTCTGTCCCCGCTCTATAGAACAGCAGTCTCCAGCGTGGTGGGCAGAGCATCATATCAGCTGATCAAAGAGGTTTCGATCTAATTAAATGAAAGAGATCCGATTTGATGTGCAGGGTTGGGGAACAATGGCGTATGTGCCGGTGTTCTCAATGTTTTGGAGTTCGAAAATTCAAGTCCTCAAGCATTCTTGCGAAGCTCCAGTGGCCTTGTAAAGTGTCAAGTGGCCTTTAAGTCACGGCCCCGGTGAGCCATTTAGTGTAAAACCCAGTGGCAGGAAGGCTGTCAGCCGGCTCGTCTGAACTGATGGTGGTAAGACCGTCGCATTTTTGAGCAAGAGTCGGGTTCAACAAAAAGAGGGATGCAGGAGAAGCTGTTGAACTCGAAAAGGCTGTTGAACTTGCAGTCTCTCAAATCTGGCGGAGCCCCGGCCACGATGGGAACTTTTGATTGAAGAGCATTTGGCCAAGAAAAAAGGGTTCTTTCGACCTGCGCGCTGGAAGGAACCACTTCATGTGGGATTTGGTTGTTCCTCTATGCAGTACATGTATGCACTTCGTTCGGTGCGTTCAAGGTGTTCATTCCATCGTTTGCTTTTCTTTGAAGCTATGTTTCTGGAGCACTTGCGGTAGGAAACTCGTCCGTCAAGCGGACGCGTGAGCAAGTACCCAGATGTTTGGACGCTTCCGTTGGGTCGGTAGTAGGTTGGAGGCCATTGCTATTAGGTTGGAGGCCATCGCTAGTGGGTTGAAGGCCATTGCTATGAGGTTTTTCAAAGGTGGGTTAGTCATCAAGAGTGAACCTATGAACCTATGTGAACCTCCTCACCTGTCCCTCCTCCCCCAGAAGCGCCTCACTCGTCACTCGCCAGAAACCGGACCTGCCGACCTCGGGGTTGGTGGTGAAACTCGTGGAGCGTGGGGGCTGAGCTGGTTGCTTTCATGCACCGGAGGCACCGGAGCTGCAACACCCCGGCCAAAGCAAAGGGGTTTGTTTCATGAAAACCATGGTTCAAACATCTTCAATCCGAAGCTGACTCTTGACATCCAAGATGATTTCTACATATTTCTATGAAGCGTTTCTCTTTTTTTAACTGTAGCGGTGACCATGTGTTCGCTGGATTTGATGATGTCCGGCATCACGCTTGGAGTCTCGTCACGTGCAAAGACTCATCCTCAATCATGTTGCCGTGGTTGCCATGCAAGCCTCCATTGCGCTGTTGCGCTGCTTCTAACGCATGCTAATATTCAGTTTGGTAGAGGAACGCATGATATCATTTGGTGGGCTTGTCTGGGTTCAGTCACGTCACGCATCTGAGAGTCTAAGGTGTCATCACAAACGTCATGTCACGACACTGTCATGGCTGCATGGGTTGGTCGTTGGCTCGACTCAGTCACGCCACAAGCTGGTGGGGCAGTCTGGACCTTGGGCGCAAATCAAACGGAAGATCTTCTACCTTCAAACCTAAGTCGGTTGGTCAGCTGACGGAAACGGTCTGGAATTGCTGTGAAAACTGTGTTCATCTTCGAAGTTACCAGAGATCCGTTGGTGGAGAGAAGCAGATCTTTCAACCTGTTCCGCCTGGCTCCTTTGCAGTTACACCGATGTGTTCCTTTCGAGTTGATCTTCACGGATGCGCATGGCGACGGCAGACCCCACCTGACCTCCCGAAGAACTTGCGGACCTCACAGACGTTGCAGAGCTCGTTTGAAGGTTTGTGCCTGGCTTCGTCCCCGCATTTTAGTAGTACCAGGGGTGTCCTATGACCTGTAACAGTTGGTAAAAGATGATCACTGTGTGGGGAAAAGGCCTGTACTAATCAATCATCATCATGCACTGTTGCTGGTCATGAATTGTAATGATATGATCTACCCAACAAATAAACTCCATTTTTACGGATAAACCCACCTGGAGCGGTCTCAAAACCAGGGGGCTTTGGCTTTGGTTCGTCTCCCCCAACGAAGGTCTGGCCAACTCCACGCTGAAGAAGTCCCACCGGGGCAAATCGTGGCTGCTCCTCTCGCAGGAGGGGACCACGGAGGGCCGCTCCACCGGGCGGGTCCGGTTTTCGGAGCCCACCATTGGATTGAAGGTTTTTTTACTTTTGAACAGGGTGCCTTGACGTTGAAAAGTAAACAGGTGCTTTACTTTTGAACAGGTTGTTTACTTTTGAAAGGCTTCTGAAACACCTTTAGGTTTTAGTGCAATCGAAGGAACAATTCTTTTAGTCTTCTTTTTTTCCTGTTCAGTTCGAGCGAAGTTCTCATGGTTGATTTTGTTGGGTTTCAGGAGTTTGAAACTACAAGGCCATGTCAACCGAAAATCTTTGAAAAGTGGGTCGCGGAGGGCTAGGGCTAGGATTGTGGTGTCACCGTCTTCTGTGGTGGGGAAGACGGACATTACAGATATCGTTTTGATGAATAGTTGAGGTGACGGAGCGGGGGAGGATTTTCGCCGAAACGACTTGCAAGTGTTTGGTGGATTCACTTGAATCCTTGGGGTTTAACCTTACTTGAGATGGGTCAACTTCAGTGTGTCTTTCGTTTCGTTCCTGGATCTCTCCCTAATTGATCTGGCTGGAATGCGCATCTACAAGAGCCCGGGCTTCTCATGTTCGCTGAATCAGAAACATGTTCCTACAAGTCCAAGGATTTCGTAAAACCTGGTCCTTTGCTTCAGCGAGAGCCGTGTTTAGACATCGACGAGCAGATGAGCAGTGATGCCCTGAGACCCTCGACCGGCTTGGGTGTGATTAGTGTGACCTGTAGGGTGCACAGTTGGCTTGAAAAGCTAAAGAAGGTAAGATCAAGCTGAGGAGTATACAGCTAGATCAAGCTGTAGCTAGATCAGAGCTTGAGAAAGCTAGATGAAGCTAAGGAGTATACAGTAGATGTAGCTCAGAATACAGTAGATGTAGCTCAGAGCTGCAGAGCCCTTCGTCTTCATAGCTTTCCAGGAGGTGAAGAAGCTCTCTCAGATGAGCCACCAGAACTTGGTGGCCCCCTTAGATGCCTGTAAGAAGCTGCACTCATTACCCTCCTCTTCAATTTGGGCGGGTTTATTAGTTAAGAGCCGACATGATGGATCCACAGACCCTCTGAAAAAGAGATTGGACACACTTTGATGAGGGGTCCAGTCGTACCTTTGAAAGGAGGCTGATGAGGGATCCGGACTTTCGTTGTTCCGACCACTCCCTTGACGCTCTGCGTCTCATGTCCTCCTGTGTGGCCGCCTGGAGTGGCCTCGGCACTCCCCTGAGATCAAGACACACACGGTCTTCGTGGATGACTACTTTGTGTATTTTGTCATCTCCAGGCGACAGCTTTCGTGCTTTCCGGCGAAAGTATGCTGTCCGAGCCATGGAACTTGAATCCTTGTTGGCACGTCTCACCGCATCCCGGACACGTCTCACCTTCCAGGAGGTTCCAGGTTGGTTCCAGGTTCTCTTTTTCTTTTTATTGTTCAATCCACACAAAAACGGCCGTCTCTTCTTTTTTGGCATCTTGGCACCTATTGGCACCTCTTGGCACCTCTCTTCCCTCGCCCCGCGCACCTTCTGGCCCCCCCGCCCCGCGGCTTCTGGGTGGCCGCGGCCAGCCCAACCAAACCACGGCGGCCAGGTATCCCTGCAGCTTGCGGCAAGCCGTGCTCACCGCCAGCAAGTTGGGAGACCCGGAGGGACGACTTCGGACTTCGCTTCGAGACCCGTCGCAACCTCCGGTGGAGCGGATCAGGTGGACCTCGGACCTCCCTGGACCTCCCGGGCGGTGGCGGTTGGACCGGAGCGAGGCGGCCGCGACCGACCGGGATCGCGGTGGCCGAGGGTTTTGGGGCGCAGGTTCTCTCGCAGAGGATTACCGGTGTCGACCGCGGCCTACACAGCAGTGGCGAACTGAGTTGGAGCAAAAGTGGGGTTGAAGGGGCCACAAAAGGGGGTTCTTGGATGTTCTTGGCACTTTTGAAATTGCAGTTCTTCAAGGAGAATCCTGGTATCATCTCAATCTGCCAGCTTTTTCAACATCTCTCATGATAAGGATCAGCTCTTGTCAGCGTTGGCGTATCTTCATGCAAATCGCTGGACGCCCCAGTGAGACACCGCAGACAAATTCGTCCAATTCGTAGGGCCATGAGGCTGATGACTCCTGACCGACTGCGGACCATGAAGAATCCAAACAAACGTCACTGGAACAACCGTCAAGATGAACATGCTTTGCTGAGAGCTTTAAAGAACAACAATTAGAAGGTGAGAAGATGCTTAGAAGGGTTGGGCCGCAAAACACTGGACACAGTCTGGACATCATGACATCATGAAAAAGACCACCGTCCAAAGCAGTTCGGTTTGATTCTGCCCTTGCCCACCCCAAGCTGTTTTTGCGCGCTGCCCATTTGCCAGCTGCGCTGCCCGCTGAGCTCGCTGTTGCTCCAGATGTGGCGCATCGCGGCATTACGCCGGACAACTTGGTGGTGACCACCTCCGACATATTGAAGGAAAAGTTCACGCCGGCCACTCGGAAGTCGCCGATTCAGAGGAAGCCGATCACAGCGTGGGTGTGAGTTTCAGACACCAAACTGTAGTAACTGTAGTACTGGAGACCTCAAATGATTTAAGCTACACCTGTGATGACCTGTGAATCGAATCCTCTTTTTTCATCATGGGGAAAAACCGCGGTCTCCTCGTCCACCCCCCAGACCTCTTTAGAGCTTGCGATCGGTGGCTCATCCTCACCCTCCCTACGAGCGACCTCGGCGTTTTCTCGCCACCGGGCGAGGCTGGTGATTGCAGATCTCTACTCGACGGCCCGAAGCGTGGAGGCCGGAGAGATTTCCCAGACTCTCAGACTCCAAAGGGATCGCCGAACCTCGCGTGGAACACCCCGCGTTGCCGGACGACGTGGCGGACGGGCCGCGCCCCACGGCGAGAGAGACGCCGTGCCCCACGGCGTCGTCTCGTGGTTTTGGATCGAGAGGAGGGACGGAGGATCTGGGCCCCCCCAAAGGGTCGATTCCTTGTTGGATCCAGCCACACTCAGCTCCTGCATGGAGCCTCCAGTCGCACTGAGCGCCGGCAGTGGAGGGACGGGGAGATCGGCCTCCGCGGTAGATATCACGTGTTTTGGCCTCCGAGGAGGTGGAGGTGGCAGAAGTATGTCGTGGGTTTATCCCTGGGAGGTTTTGGATGGTGGTCTTAGATCTATTTAGATCCTCAGTCTCTGGACAGCAGGGTGCCGGAGGCGAAAATTGCCCTGAACATCCCTGCTACCAGGCTGCAAGCTTGGCAATGGTTCGAAGCAGCCGTAGCTGCGAGAAGCTTCGCGAAGCAAAACAACGCACCTTCTTAGCACTATATCATGTCTATCTCAACATGTCTCACTGTTAGCACCCCATCAACATAGTGTAACACACCTTTGTGCTCTCCCATTGTGGTCTCCCAATATGCTCCACCACTGGTCTCCTTCGTCTCGCTCGCTCGCGCGAAGCGCTCGTCGCGCCTCACGGCGGGAGGCGGGTGCCTTCCTGACCGAAGTCATTGGATCGCCGGAGTATTGGGCGCCGGAGGTTGCAGCCCGGAAGCTCGGAGAATCGTCGACCGAGATGCGCGAAGGAGACCAGCGTTTTCACGGAGACGAGCGTGAGCGGAGACGAGACGAAGGTGGTGGGTGGGTGAAGGTGATGATTTGTTGGGCTGAATTTGTAAAGAGCTTGAGAAGTCGGACCGGACGCCTGATTGGGCTGATTTCGCGTGATTCTGAGTGGTTTTTGGGACGAGATTCTGATGGAATCATGATTGACTTGAAGATTCTTGGACATCATTCCAGCTTTCTTTGGTTTCTTCTTGTTCATGCAAAAGGCACTGGCAAAGGGCATTTCTTCACCTCTCTTCGCAGAGTTCCTCGCGAGTTTCTCGCGAGTTTCTCGCGACAGGAATGTGAGTACAGCTATGCGGCTGATGTGTGGGTGCGTCTGCCCAGGGTTCGGATCTGTCTTTTTTCTATCCATCCGTCCAGAGCGAAGAGGCACCTCCCTCTGAGCATGACGGACCAGAGCATGACAGGTCTTCATCTAAAGTTAGAGCCCCAAGAGAGCGAGCCAGTAACAGCTTTGTATTTGTACTGAGGTTTGTTTCATTGCAAGCTTGTGTTTGTGTTGCATGAGTTTGCATTTTGTATCTATTCAATAGCATTTTGCAACTCAAAGGCAGCAGTTTTCAAGGCCATGCACGCCATCGCGCTTTTCCTTTTGCCTTTGGCTGTAGCCATATGCCAGGACTGTGACACGGAAGATGTGAATTTGCTGAATGTTCATCGCGATCATCACCAAACACATCACAGACGCCGCCATGCCGAAAAACACCACAAGCACAAGCACAAGAAGGGCGGAGGCGGCGGAGGCGGGGG